AACCGCGCACGCTACTCCGCGCACCCCGTGCACTTAGTGCATTTATCACAGCATTGACCGCTGTCCGGCACAAGTACACGCCCCGACCGCGTCACTCTCCACACACGTGGCGCTGCCGCCACAGAGTATGCAGAGTCAAGACTATGCACCACACAAAGGGCCCATTCACATGAACCCGCGCGAGAGTACGTGTGCTAAAGCACCGACCTCTGCACGGGGCCCGTTTCCTGCCTAATTTAATTCTCTTACAGAGTAATTATTCACCCAATCCGAACCGTAAAACAGATCCACTCCGAAATTAATCGCAACCGCACTACACTCGCGTATCCGCCGTATATCCCTAAGGTTTATATACGCTGCGAGCGTGTTCCCGCACTTTCCGGAGCACACGTCAGTTACGTAAGGCACTATTCTACCCGCACATATGTGTAGCGATTATTCCGGAATAAAGCCGGAGTGGCCCAGGTCGCAATGTTAAATCGACACAGGACGATGCACAGAGGTACACCTTAATCCCGGACCTAGAAGGGATCCCCAAACAGGGCACTTCCAGCTACGTTACCGTGGCATGTCAGGCGCGGCGAAACCAGCCATCTTGGGCCGGAGCCACGAGCCACGTTTCACGGGACTAGAAAATCACTTATTTCTCCTACAGAAATACACTTCCGCACGTGAAACTTTGCGAATCGACGCAGAATCGCATTCCGCACCCACAGACCGCACTTTAGGGACGCTACGCGCGTTATTTCCGCACGGTCGCATGCAGGGACGACGGAGCGGCACAAAGACACGTCCGTACGCCTCGCTACTCACGAGAGAACCCCCAACCTAACCTAACCTAACCTAACCTAACCTAACCTAACCTAACCTAACCTAACCTAACCTTTTTTTTTTGTTTGCGCGGAGGAGAAAAATCTTCATAAACCCCATCATGGAGCGACGATTCGGCCGAAGCTTCCTCGTCCCACCATGAGGGGGAAGACACACGTGGCCCGGTACCACGTGCGTGACGGATTTCATGCAGACCGATCGGTTTTACCCGATACAGCCTACATGACCTACCGCCTAAAATACTCCCCCAACTCCCGCTCGTCACCTGCCTACGTGGAGGG